AATTTAAAGCCTGGTGCTAATGGGCTCAAGCCTGTAGAGTTCTGAGGACCATGGTTCAAAGCCAGCTGAGGCAGGACATTCTGTGAAACTCCTATCTCCAATGAACCACCAGATACCTGGAAGTGGAGCTGTGGGTCAAGTAGTAGAGTGCTAGCCTTGAGCAAAAAAGCCTTAGTTCAAGCCCCCAGGACTGGCACAAACATTAATAACTAATAAAAAGTAACTCATAAACGTGGTTTAGGGGCTGTGAATGTGGCTTTAGTGGTAGAGTTCTTACCTAGCAGGCATGAGGCCTAGGTTCAAGTCCTCAGTACCACATAAACAGAAAAGGCCAGGAGTGGAGCTGTGGCTCAAGTGGTAGAGTGCTAGCCTAGAGCAAAAGAAGCTCAGGGACAGTGTCCAGGCCCAGAGTTCAAGCCCCAGGACTGGCAAAACAAAACAAAACAAAAACACATGGCTTAAACAGTTCATGGAAATGTTCAAATGCATATTAAAAAGCATTATTACTCTGCCTACTTCTTGCTTATTTGAAATCCCAACCATAACCATTTCTGCTTTTGATTTTTGCAACAACACCTATATCTTAAATTTTTTTCCTGTGACTTTTTGATTCATCTGTCATAGACCCATTGTATTGATGACCTGATATGGAAGATTTAGTAGAGAATTTAGTTTGTTCTCTGCTTGTAATATAATTATATCACGATTTTTGGTTCTTCTATGGTTCCTTCTGTAAGAAAAGATAATGTAGTTAAAACTCCTTTTCTCCGTCCACTGTTGACATTGTTTCTTGGCCATCTGCTTAGTAAGAGGAGGATTTTGATATTCTCACCCCTCCTGCTACCATTTTTGTTTGTGTGCCTTCTTTACCTTCTAGCTTCTTTCAGGTTTAATTTAGTGTTTGCAATGTCAAAGCATTTGGTTCTGTAACACACCTATTTTCAGAGTTCGTTTAAAATGGCCCACCGCAGGATTTCCTGAGGCCTTGGGCAAGCTGGGGATTGCTCGCTGCTGAAGAGATCTGCTCTGAGAACTGGGGCAGTATTACCGCGGCAGCTCTTGCTGTTGACTGTGGTTTCTCACAGGTTGGTGGCAGTGCTGCTGATTTCAAGCCTAGTAGTCATACTACCTCTTTTTTTTTTTTTTTTTGTCAGTTGTGGGGTTTGAACTCGGCCTGGGTGCTGTCTCTGAGCATTTTTGCTCAAGGCTAGCGCTCTACCACTTTGAGCCACAGCACCACTTCCCATTTTCTGGGGTTAATTGGAGGTAAGAGTCTCATGAGCTTGTTCTTTCCCTGTGTGGCTTTGAACTTCGATGCTGGGATCTCAGCCTCCTGTGGCTAGATGACAGCATGAGCCTTATCTTTTATTATTACATGTCCAGCTTAGAGTTTTGAGTTAAAATGAGCCAGTCTCTTCCTGTCTGCTCGTGCAGTCCTCTCAGCCGCAGTGTCACGATGGCTGTGTATGGACAGCCTTCACATCGAGGCCATCCTTCCTGGGGAGGAATCTTGTCATCTCTTACCATTTTCTACAACTGTGCTTTGCATACTGCCTGAAAGTATCTGGTCCCCTTCTTGCCTAAGTTCCACTTCCTCAGTTCTCTCCTGAGATGGGGAAGGCTCAGGTTAAGCACATGCCAATAGTGAAAATTCGGAATTTGGAACATACACACAAAAATGCAAACTCCAGTTTCTCAGTGGTATTGGGTCTTGAATTCAGAGCTCCATGCTCAACTTTATTTCACTCTTTACTGATGCTCTACTATGGGAACTATGCCCTCAGTACAGCTCTTTTTTTCTTTTTTGCTGGTTCATTGGGCTGCCTTCCAATATCAATCCCCAGATCTCAGTCTCCTTAGTATCTTGTATTACAAGCATGAGCCTCCAGTACCTGGCTGCAGTTTGGACTCATTATCTTGAATGTTTCACACCTTAAAAATAATAATACTTTGAAAAATAATGTTTGGTGGGCAAAGTAGCTTTCCTATACTATCCCACTTGATACTTACAACTTTCCCAAAGGGCAAGCAGCTCGATTAAGGTCACAACTGGGGTAAGATAAAGCTAAACCAACTCCTCAGAACCTCGTCCTCCCTTCCCGGAAAAGTGCTGCTGCTACAAGTTTCTCCATCGAGAAGTTTTTTGTGAGTAACCTAACCCTTACTATAATATGAACTGTATGCTTTTGTTCTGTTTTCAGTTGATTTCGAAAAGACATTCACCCTTAAATTGAAAGATCATGCTAAAGTGACAGGTTGACTTCGTATACTGTTAGAATTATAGGGACTTAAGGAGAAAACATTGAAAGAAATGGATGAGTTTTGGAAGAGATTTAAATCACATGATTACATTTTGTATGTGTGTGTGTGTGGGGGGGGGATGTTTAACATGAGCTCATAATTGTTCCTTCTACTTCTATGCCGCATGCAAAACCTCTTCCACCTAAAATAAAAAAATGGTAGAAATGATTCAGAGTTGCAAACCCAATCTCATGCACATCTGTCTCCGCTCTGCCCTCGGGCTGCTCACGTGGTGATTCCCGCAACCCTACCATCAGTGGCATGCTCTTTCTTGGGCTGAGCTCTGAGGACTAAGTGTGTGGATCTGAAATTGGACAGAGAGGAGAAGTTGGGGGAGTCAGTATCAGAACTGTGCTCAGCATGCCTATCTAGAATTCTAGCTCCTCAGGAGGCTAAGAGCTACCTGGGCAGACAAATCCATCAGACCCTTATTTCCAATTAAGCAGCACATATCTGGAAGTAGAGGTATGATTCAAATAGTACAGCACCAGTGTGATTAAAATAAAATAAAAAAGGCCACCTGCTCAACGCCTCGTGTTCCAATATCGTGACCACAACCACAATCACGATAACAAAAACAAACTATGGTCAGGGCTCAGGCTGGTTATAGCAGAAGTGGCTGCCCGCGGGAAAGAGGTAAAACCAAGTCCCAGAACAGGCTAGCCGGGGTGTGAAGGCCCTCAACGAGATCTGATTAAATTGTCCCCCAAACAAGCAGATCGCAGTCCATCTCTTGTCAGGAGGCAGCCTAAATTTCTATCTCTCATGCCCCAAAGGATTATGTTTTAAAGGTTTGGGTTTCTTCAGTTCGACTGTGAATGAGGGGATGGGCTCATTCATGCAGACTTCCTTGCTCTTTGTCCATGGAGAATTCTGTACTTTCTAAGCAGTGTGTATCTCTTTGAGGGGTTCAGGTTTTTATGTTACCTGAACTCGAGCAGGTAGATTTGTTAGGGTCCTTGTGCTTCACTTAGTTGTAGTTTTTCTAAGAAGTTGCAGTCCCTGGACTGGAATGAGAAGAAGGCTTTAACGTGCTAAAATCTCAGTAGAGAACATGTATATTTGCCTTGATATTCATTTCTCTAGGTTTTAGTCAACATGCTTTGGGTCATAATTGGCAGTTTTTTTGGAAATTGGGATTTTTTTCCTGATCATAACCTACATGGTGAAGAAAACATCACACGTATGCCTACTGGAATAGAAATTAGTAAGGCTGAATTTGGCTGATGACTCACTTATTCTCTTAAACAGGTAGTGAATGCCTGAGATTAGAAAGTAAGGTAGTAAGAAGGATCCCAGGAGGCCTATGACCCACAGAGCATGTGGTGTGTACAGTAACTGTTTTGCTTTGCCCTGGAGAGTTACAGGATTCTTCTGCACCTAAAGGTCTCTGTGTCCAGCATTGCCGTCATATGGAGACCTTGAAAATAATGCTCCGAGGCGTGGCTCAGTGTGGGCTGTCTCTTCAAGTTGGCTGTTTCATAGAGCACGGTGGCCTTGGTCTGCCTAAAAGGCAGTGGGTTCTAAACCTCAACAAAGACCGAAACACCGCAGAGTTGGGTTAGTGTTACATTTCAAGTGCCAAGACAAAGTTCTCAGCTTGCACCTCAATCAGCCGATCTTAATTTGTGCTGGGAGAACTAAATACATAAGATAGATACTTTTAACTTCTGAAAAATTTTGAACTTCTTTGGTGGTACTGGTTTTGAACTCAGGGCCTCCCAGTTGATGCGCGGGCGCGCTACCACTTGAACCATGCCTTTAGCCCTTTTTGGCTTTAGTTTATGTTTCAGGTGCAGCCTCACGCTTTTTGCCTGGGGCTGGCATGAGTCTGTGCTCCTGCTGGCTACGCTTCTTGGCACCTGGGATTACAAGGTATGTACTATAAAGCCTGGCTTGTTGTTTGAGATAGGCTCTTGCTAACTTTTGCCAAAGCTGACCTCAAACCTCAATCTTTGTCTCCAGAGTAGCTGGGATTGCAGAGTGAGCTAGTGTACCTAGCTTGAGATACATGCTTTTAGGTTTCCATTTTCTGTGGGGAAAGTAATGTTTATTAATTAGTATGATAACTTTTTTCAAAGGAAATGTTTTAGGCTAGTTCCTATGCAATATGGTTTTCTAGGCGAACATTTATTTTGAGATGTAAGCTATGCAGTTTCTTATTGGGAAACTTAGATTTAGGGAAATTTAGAGGTTAGGGTGGGGGTGGAGTTCCCATTACTTTACAATGCATCAGTATAACTTACTTTTACTTATTATTATTCACCTGGTTCTTCTTACAACAGAAGAATAGAAGAAGAATAAAAACACTTATAGATCACTTAAAACATTTTACTAGAAGAAAGGGAACACATTAGCCCACTTGAATCACTGGCTTTGCTGAATGAGCAAAAGATATATTTAATCTTTCATCAAAGACTTTATTTGAAATTACTAATATACAATTCCACTCAGCACAGTGTAAATGAATTATTAGAACATTTAAGCAAGATCGTCATTGTTTTTATTAACAGCATTATTCTTTACTCCTTTTGTTAGAAAACCACCCTGCGGTGTGTGCAGGTCTGTTTAATTGCAGTGCTTTTACATTTCCCCTCAAATGTAGCTGGCTTATTTTATAAATATTTCGAGTATGTAATTAGTATTTTGCTTTAATGAAAGTCACAAGTGGATTTAGATCATTGAAGGGGTGGGGATGCATGGCCTTCCTGCGGGTAAGAGTGTCTGACATTCCTGACTCTCACCGCACACCTTGCCCCCAGGGTGGGTGCTAGCCTCTCCCAACCCAGGGATGGAGCCCAGACTTCTCTGGGAGGAAGCAGCTATGACTTAAAGAATGGCAGAGGAAACGTGGTCATGTCACGCTGCCTTAACTTGCAGGACGCTTGCTTTCTGGAAGTTGGCAGAAGCCGGCTGCATGATGTGTCCAGCCAGCTGTCACGGAGACTCTCACTAAGGCACTCCTGACAGAGACACTGTCAGGACTGAGCCTGGCTTGTTTGCACACATCCTGAGCTCTAACTGCCCCACTGTCCCTGGGTCACCCTGATGTGGACCCCCACATAGTTTCCCAGCATGCTTTGGATACAAGAGCGGCTATGTGCACTGAGAAGCCGGGCTAGGAGACAGCCGGCGAAGTGAGCCCCTTCCGCCTGCGGTTCCCCGAAGCACTCCACTGACAGCGGCCGCACGCTGCTGTCTGACGCAGCCATGGAATTTCACAGGCCCATATCCATTTTCTCAGAGCAGGCAGTAAAGAATGGATTTGTAGCCACAAGGCAAAACACTGACGCCTGACAGGTCCTCAGCCCAGAAGATCACTTATCCTGTGCTGCGCTTGATTCCAAGAAGAGTTCAGCATAGCAACAAGGATCTTCAACAAAAGCTCATAGTTAATTCTTTCAACTCACTCTAATTTTTGTTTTGACTATTTTAATCTTTGTATAACTAGTGGAATTGGATTCAAAACACCCCACTAAAATCAGTTAATAGAAGGAATGGTTTGTTCTCTGAAAATATAAATAACATCGACAAGCCTTTATCCACACTAACAAAATTCAAAGTGTGTTCATGTAAGTATTTGAAAAGGGCTCAAAAGGGTGTTTAGGGTGCTGGGCACCTTCCCAGACCCCGGAACTTGGGTCTGGCTCTGGTCCTGGGTCTCATCACCTTCACATGGAGCGAGAGAAACTGCCCGGACATGCTGCATCTTCCTCCCCCAGGACAGCTGCCCTCCACGCATCTGCATCTTCCTCCCCCAGGACAGCTGCCCTCCACGCATCTGCATCTTCCTCCCCCAGGACAGCTGCCCTCCACGCATCTTCCTCCCTCAGGACAGCTGCTCCCCACGCATCTTCCTCCCTCAGGACAGCTGCTCTCCACGCATCTTCCTCCCTCAGGACAGCTGCCCTCCACGCATCTTCCTCCCCCAGGACAGCTGCCCTCCACGCATCTTCCTCCCCCAGGACAGCTGCCCCCCACGCATCTTCCTCCCCCAGGACAGCTGCTCCCCACGCATCTTCCTCCCTCAGGACAGCTGCCCTCCACGCATCTTCCTCCCTCAGGACAGCTGCCCTCCACGCATCTTCCTCCCTCAGGACAGCTGCCCCCCACGCATCTTCCTCCCTCAGGACAGCTGCCCCCCACGCATCTTCCTCCCTCAGGACAGCTGCCCCCCACGCATCTTCCTCCCTCAGGACAGCTGCCCTCCACGCATCTTCCTCCCTCAGGACAGCTGCCCTCCACGCATCTTCCTCCCTCAGGACAGCTGCTCCCCACGCATCTTCCTCCCTCAGGACAGCTGCCCTCCACGCATCTTCCTCCCTCAGGACAGCTGCTCTCCACGCATCTTCCTCCCTCAGGACAGCTGCCCCCCACGCATCTTCCTCCCTCAGGACAGCTGCCCCCCACGCATCTTCCTCCCTCAGGACAGCTGCCCTCCACGCATCTGCATCTCCCTCCCTCAGGACAGCTGCCCTCCACGCATCTGCATCTTCCTCCCCCAGGACAGCTGCTCCCCACGCATCTTCCTCCCTCAGGACAGCTGCCCCCCACGCATCTTCCTCCCTCAGGACAGCTGCCCTCCACGCATCTTCCTCCCTCAGGACAGCTGCCCTCCACGCATCTTCCTCCCCCAGGACAGCTGCCCTCCACGCATCTTCCTCCCTCAGGACAGCTGCCCTCCACGCATCTTCCTCCCTCAGGACAGCTGCTCTCCACGCATCTTCCTCCCTCAGGACAGCTGCCCCCCACGCATCTTCCTCCCTCAGGACAGCTGCTCTCCACGCATCTTCCTCCCTCAGGACAGCTGCTCTCCACGCATCTTCCTCCCCCAGGACAGCTGCCCTCCACGCATCTTCCTCCCCCAGGACAGCTGCCCTCCACGCATCTGCATCTTCCTCCCTCAGGACAGCTGCCCTCCACGCATCTTCCTCCCCCAGGACAGCTGCCCTCCACGCATCTTCCTCCCTCAGGACAGCTGCCCTCCACGCATCTTCCTCCCCCAGGACAGCTGCCCTCCACGCATCTTCCTCCCTCAGGACAGCTGCTCTCCATGCATCTGCATCTTCCTCCCCCAGGACAGCTGCCCTCCACGCATCTGCATCTTCCTCCCTCAGGACAGCTGCCCTCCACGCATCTTCCTCCCCCAGGACAGCTGCCCTCCACGCATCTTCCTCCCTCAGGACAGCTGCCCTCCACGCATCTTCCTCCCCCAGGACAGCTGCCCTCCACGCATCTTCCTCCCCCAGGACAGCTGCCCTCCACGCATCTTCCTCCCCCAGGACAGCTGCCCTCCACGCATCTTCCTCCCCCAGGACAGCTGCCCTCCACGCATCTTCCTCCCTCAGGACAGCTGCTCTCCACGCATCTTCCTCCCTCAGGACAGCTGCCCCCCACGCATCTTCCTCCCTCAGGACAGCTGCCCTCCACGCATCTTCCTCCCTCAGGACAGCTGCCCTCCATGCATCTTCCTCCCTCAGGACAGCTGCCCTCCACGCATCTGCATCTTCCTCCCTCAGGACAGCTGCTCTCCACACATCTTCCTCCCCCAGGACAGCTGCCCTCCACGCATCTTCCTCCCTCAGGACAGCTGCCCTCCACGCATCTTCCTCCCTCAGGACAGCTGCCCCCCACGCATCTTCCTCCCTCAGGACAGCTGCCCTCCACGCATCTTCCTCCCTCAGGACAGCTGCCCCCCACGCATCTTCCTCCCCCAGGACAGCTGCCCCCCACGCATCTTCCTCCCTCAGGACAGCTGCCCTCCACGCATCTTCCTCCCTCAGGACAGCTGCCCTCCACGCATCTTCCTCCCTCAGGACAGCTGCCCTCCACGCATCTGCATCTTCCTCCCTCAGGACAGCTGCTCTCCACACATCTTCCTCCCCCAGGACAGCTGCCCTCCACGCATCTTCCTCCCTCAGGACAGCTGCTCTCCACGCATCTTCCTCCCTCAGGACAGCTGCCCCCCACGCATCTTCCTCCCCCAGGACAGCTGCCCTCCACGCATCTTCCTCCCTCAGGACAGCTGCCCTCCACGCATCTTCCTCCCTCAGGACAGCTGCCCTCCACGCATCTGCATCTTCCTCCCTCAGGACAGCTGCTCCCCACGCATCTGCATCTTCCTCCCTCAGGACAGCTGCCCTCCACGCATCTTCCTCTCCCGAGGACAGCTGCCCTCCACGCATCTTCCTCCCTCAGGACAGCTGCTCTCCACGCATCTTCCTCCCCCAGGACAGCTGCCCTCCACGCATCTTCCTCCCTCAGGACAGCTGCCCCCCACGCATCTTCCTCCCCCAGGACAGCTGCCCTCCACGCATCTTCCTCCCTCAGGACAGCTGCCCTCCACGCATCTTCCTCTCCCGAGGACAGCCTGCCCTTCACAGGCTCTCGTGACCTTTGCCTCCCTCATTCAGGAGTGTAATGTCTGTCTGCATTGTCTCCTTCATCCCTCGGAGGTCACACAGCTACCAAACATGTTGCTAGAAAGAGTTCATTGTGAAGCAGCAGTGTGCTGGTTCTAATTTTAAGTGATGACAAATAGGACACAAGATTGTAATGTATGAAACACGCAACATGGCTTAGAACTGAAAATCAGAACTACTCAATTTTGTTGTTCTCATTCAGTGAAATCACCTAAAGTTATTTTTCTTTGCTTCCTGTTGATTTATTATTATTTACTTATTTTTTGTCAGTCATGGGGTTTGAACTCAGGGCCTGGGTGCTGTCCTCTTTGTGCTCAAGGATAGCAGTTAGCACTCTACCATTTTGAGCCACAGCACCACTTCTGCTTTTTTTTTTCTTTTCTCTTTGTCAGTCATGGGGCTTGAACTCTGGGTTTGGGCGCTGTCCCTCAGTTCTTCAGCTCAAGAATAGCGCTCTACCACTTGAGCCACAGTGCCACTTCCGGTCTTCTGGTGATTAATTGGAGATAAGGGTCTCATGGACTTTTCTGCCTGGGTTGGCTTTGAACTTATCCACAGATCTCAGCTTCCCGAGTACAGCTAGGCTTGCAGGTGTGAGACACTGGTACCTGGCTGATTTTTTATTTTTTCACAAATTTACTGTAGTGACCATATGCTAGCTTTGGGGGAAAAAAAAACCACAAAGACAAATACATGTGCCATAGACATGTATGTCTTGAAGTCAAACTGGAGACCCAGAATGTGACAACTGTTTTCTGTCGAGTATCTGACCAGCCATGTATACCATGCGGAGGCTCACGTGACAGGTCCAACGGCAGTGTGCCCACTGAAATGAGATGGGTCATGTGCCCCAAACAGATTTTAGAATTATTGAGATCTATACACATATCTGAACAGCAACCAAATCTAAGGAATTAACCAGCCAAAGACCAGAATTCAAGCAGTTCTAAGCAAAACTAGCAAGATATCAACACCAACAATTTCTCCTCTAAGGCAGGGACAGCCAGCCGCCTTGGAGCTCTCCCAGCCATTCGTTGGAATCCTATAAAATGAAACTCGTAGCTTATGCTAGTTTTTGCAACAATCTGCCCTCCCAACCATGGCTCCTGTTAAAATGAAGAGCTCTGCAGTTCTTAACTCCAGGACATCCTGAATTTTACTGTGAAACGGAGGCCAGGACCCCTCCTCTCACACTAGCATGTAAGAAAGCAGAAAGAAATTGCACAAACACAAGAGACTACAGAAGCAAATAGCAAGAGTTATACAACGGAAGAATAAGCACTGGCTGCTCATCATCTGCTCACTCTCTTCTCCAGCACACGATAGGACCAGGTGATCTGTGCAGAGCTCCTGTCTAAAAGCTGCGGGGAGACAGGGAATGCCCGCATGAGGTTTGCTTCTCTCCGGGGTTCAGGACTCTGCTGTGTGTGAGAGGTCTGTTGTCAGAATGGAAAGGAGAAGGTGGGAGTTGTGCCGGAAGAGGAGTACCAGGGTGAGCCTGGTTGTCCTTGTTTGGCACCGGAAGATCCCCACCCAGGGATGCTCCATGGCATGGCCGGTCTCCCACTCACAGCGGACAAAAACCGATGCCCTTGGGTATCTCTGCAACCTTGAAGCTTTAAAGAGGGCCAGCCCGGCGGCCCCCACCTGCAGCCCCAGCTAGGAAGGAGGCAAAGCCACGGAGGAGGTGTGGTCCTAGGTCAGCTCGGGCAACACTGCGCTAGCCCTCCCCCAACAAACTGAAGCACCAGGCTGGGGCAAGGTGCTGGTGGTAGAGTCCCTGCTGAGCCCCGCGCCCCGAGCGTTAGCAACGACGGAAATAGGCAGACAGGATCTCTGAGCCCCAGCAAGTTCTGCTCAGTGTCATGGAAGCATGCTCTCGTTCTGTCGGAGGCCAGGAGAGCAGCCTGGGGCTAAGCCCCGGGCCTTGCTGGGGAACTGAGAAAAAAGCTGCAGCTCCCAGTGCCAGCCACCTTGCTGAGCCCCGAGGACCACTTCTTGGGTGGCTTTAGATGACATCAGGCATGAGCAGACTCTCCAAACCACCATCAACCCAGAGGCCGGCGCGGCTCAGATCTGATCAGTGTCCTCTGGAGGCCTCTTTTTGAAGACAATGAAGAGACCCAAAAGCACCGTCCACACAGCACTTCCTGCCTTTCCATTGCCTTCATCTGCTTTCTTTTCATGCTCCTTATCTGTCTCAACCCCTCTCTCTGATCCCGGAACTCTCATTCCACTCTCAGCCTGTATGGTTGTCCTTCCTTCCTCCTTCCCCACTCTGTCCTGTCATCCAAACAGACCAAGCTCCTTTTCATAAAGAGGAGGGAGGAGGGGAATCTGAGGCCCTTCCCATGTTCGTTATTTCTGTTCCAAACACATAGCTTATATGTGTCTACACAAATATCCATGGCATGTTGACATGGTTGAAAAGGGCCATAAAATTCATGACTCAGATCTCCTAATTTAAACAAATGTCAAAACAGCCAAGGCATTAGATAGCATGTCTAAGGATATGAAGTCTCTTTTCTAAACTCTGTAATATGACTTTAAATCCTGTGGTTTGTGGTTATCAAAAGAAATAATTACTAAGTGGCGCTGTAGCTCAAGTGGTAGAGTGCTGGCCTTGAGTTGAAGAGCTGAGGGACAGTGCCCAGACCCAGAGTTCACGCCCCACGGCTGACAAAAAAAAAAAAAAAAGAATCATATCAAAAGAAATAATTACAAAAGCTTTCTGGTCAGAGACCACCAGAAATACATCTGTAGTTTATTGGGTGTTGGAGAGGAGCAGGACACATGCACATACATACTCTCTCTGTCTCTGTCTCTGTCTCTGTCTCTCTCTCACACACACACACCACACGCACACACACCCAGTGAGCAACCATGGTGTCTCTCATGGATAAAAGGACTACATAGAGCTGGTGCTCTGGCAGTGGTTTGGGGAAGGGGTTAAGTGGGCATGATCTGAATCAGATGCTACTGGGAAATAGGAATATACGCTTGACTTCCTTCCTTCCTTCCTTCCTTCCTTCCTTCCTTCCTTCCTTCCTTCCTTCCTTCCTTCCTTCCTTCCTTCCTTCCTTCCTTCCTTCCTTCCTTTCTATTCTCATCCTAATGAAACTGTTATCCTTTGAACACTTTTAGGGTCTGAGGATACTTTTAATCTTCATCACCAGCCGAGGAGGTAGATATCATTATTCTAATTCTCATATACAGAAATGGAAGCTTGTAAGGCAAGTGATTTTCTCAGCCCCTAAACAGTAGAACGGCAGCTCAGCCTCGGACACTCTTTCTTCAGGGTCTGCACTCTGATCAGCCAGGGGTGAGTCGAAGCACTGGGGAAGGGGGTGGAGGGGTTGGGGGTAGAGACATGGGGCATTTTTACAGCAAATATTCTGAGAGAATGAATGTGTTCAGGAATGTCAGGCAGCACTGAACTGCCAGAGCCACTGGGGATGGAAGAGGAGAAGGCACGGAGAAACCATGCTGACTTACTGTTCTTCATTTCAAGAATGGCTTTCTGACTTAGGATCTTACTTTACTTGTTATTCTTGCTGTTGGTATGAAATTAAGCTGACTGGCAGGAGAAGGAAAGCGTGCACCAGCTCCTTGGCATTGTCTGTTGGACTCCCTCACTGGATCAAACGGTAAAGCAAAGTTGTTCTGTGCTTTGTGATGGAGCGTCGGGCGCCTGGCAGTACCCACGGCTTAATCATCATGATTAGGAGAGGGATGCGGTTATTAATAGCTTCGTAAATGCATTCGTTTTCCAGAATCACCTTCAGAGTAAAATGACAGCCTGAGGCTCAGGTGAAGACACAAGTCTCCCGTGGCCCACCCGGCTCCACCAGCGGTGTGGGTGACCCGGTGCCCAGGACAGGCAGGTGCGGGATCTCCATCTATTCCTAGGGTCAGGGCCCTAATGTCACATGCTAGGCTCACCTAATAAATCCTCGTAGTAGCAGTCCAAAAAATACGTTCTTTTCTCACACTGTAGTAACACAGAACTCTTTCAGGTATAGAATGAGAATGGGCTTACTTTTAAGGTATTTACTTATTTATTGGTGTGTGTGTGTGTGTGTGTGTGTGTGTGTGTGTGTGTGTGTACTGGGGCTTCAGCCTTGTGTTCTCACTTGGCATTTTCACTTAAGACTGGCAGTCTACTCCCTGAGTCACACCTCTACTTCCAGCTTTCTGGAAGTAGATTAATTTAAGATAAGGGTTGAATGGACGTTAATTTAAGGTAAGGGTTGAATGGACGTTCCTGCCTAGGCTGGCTTAACACTGCAGTCCTCAGGTCTCAGCCTCCTGAGTAGCTGGGAGTACAGTGTGAGTCCGTGCACCTGGTGTCATACACTTCCGTTTTCAAAAGAAGGCTGTGGGAGGTCCCTAAGCCAGGGACTGTGATCATTACGATGTCAGATTCTTTATGTCCCTCGAAAATAAAATCAATAGGCTTTCCTGATAAACTGGATATTGGTTAGGAAAGAAAAATTAGGTGCAATAATGACCAGATATTTCCCTGAATGTCTGGGATGGATGGAGATGCCACCAGTGGACCAGAAAACTCTTGAGTGGGCAGGCTTGGGGGAAGAAGAGTTTTTCTTGGGTAAGTTGAGACTGAGCCACTCATTAGACACCCTACTAATAAAGATGTCAGGCAGCTCTCTACCGGAGTCCCAGGCAGGGCAGGAGCTGGGCGGGCCGGCCTGTGTGGGCTGTCAGCAAGCAGGTGGTAATACGCCCAATGGTGGGATCACCCAATGGGGCAGGGAATGCAGACTGGAAGGGACCCAGGTCTGCTTGGCAGGGCGTTTCTAGCCACTACTTACACACACACACTTGCACACACACACACACACACACACACACACACACACACACACACACTCAACTATGTAAAAAAAATCCGTGGTTAAAACTTCCAAACACTCTGGGCCCTCAACGTGCTAAAAGTCAGACATTCGGATAAAGCATCACAGCTTTCATTGTGGTTTTCCTTATCGTGAAATAGTTGTCAATGGGTTTCAATTCAATGTCTGTCTATATATGTTCCATGCATACTGTCATCTTCCCTTTGGCCCCTCACGGATCCCGTTCACGGCAATTGTTGGACTGTGTGTTGGGTACATTGCTGTGTACTTGGTATGGATGATCACTATCTTCATCTCCATCTCCTGCGGGAGATGCTATCACTTCGTTTTCAAGCGAGAAAACAGAGGCTTAGAGGATTAAAACCATTTGTTGAGCCGTGGCAGGTGGTACATAATGGGACTGGGCTTTGCACCCTTTGACCCACCTGTGCAGCTTCACTATCTGCTGTAAGTACTGTGCAGAAAGACAAAAGCCCAAGCCCAGAGTTCAAGCCAAGCGTTTGATAGAGCTCCAGATCCCACTTGACTGGCTAAAACATCCAACCAATGTGTTACACACACACACACACACACACCACACACACACACACACACACAGCCCAACAATTTGAAGACGTATGAGGAGTTAGGAAGTTCCAGACTGCCAGGCCTTGCTGTGGTGAGTCCCACTGCAATGTCTTAGAAACGTTGGTGCACTAGCACAGGGCCTGGGAGGGAGTCCATCACGCTTCCAACCCCAGTCCAGCCACAGGCAGTGAAAAGAACATCCCAGGTTCAAAGACACCAGCGTTTTAAATCCGTCAGATATTATGTTTTTAAGAGTTCTGGCTTTCCTGGAATTTCTTTCCCTTGGCTTACTGTTATTTGTCCTCTTCTATGTAATCAGTTTAGTCAATCTTGTAACTATAAAGAGATGGTAAATTCTAAGCTCCCATCTGACTCAGAGTTTGTAGCAGAAGCCATGCATGTATGGTAATATGGTGATATGTATGGTAATATGGTGATATGTATGGTAATATGGTACTCGAAATTTATGTCCATCTTTTCATCCAAGGAATAGAGCGTGCATCTGTGCAATGCAGAAGAGCCAACCGTCTACAACAACGTCAACAACGAACACAGTTCAGACAGGACTGCTGGGGGCTTCGTTTCTGAGAGGCTGGCGTTCGCTCCAACAGCCACGTGACCCGTGCGTCACAGACGTGGTTCTGGGAGCCCTGCCCTGTCTCCCCGGCTCTGTGTGGTGATGCAGCTTCGTGGGTGCCAGCGGGTGTGTGAGGGAAGGCCTTGCCGTGTGGCGGAGGCTGGTGCTGGGCCCAGGTTAGGACAGTGCCCCGTGTTGGCAAGGAGGTGGCGAGCAGAATGCGTTCCAGCCACCGCCTTCCGTGATCGACTGGCGGGCTTTTCTTCTTAGCAAGGGCCGCTCTTTGTGATTCTCTTTGCCAGTTTTAAAAGCTCTGGTCTTGAAAATAAGCCAACTGAATCTACAATTCATGAAATGCTATGACTTCTGTGTGTCATGTCCTTTAAAGTACACCTTGGTAGGTCTCTGTATTAGTTACAAATTGCTGTGTAACGTCATCGAAAACTGGTGACCTAAGACAATTATACGATGCCTTTGTTTCCATGGGTCAGGAGTCCTGATTGACGGCTTGACTTGGTCCCCCATGTCACAGCCTCTTTCACAGCTGGATGGAAAGTGTGGGCCACCCACAGGGCTCTTTGCGGGACTGACCTGGTTTGTGTGTGGGGCGGCCCTTCCCGAGTGTTGGCCAGGGGCCTGCCTGCCTCGTCCTGTGCCTGGTGTGCGGCTCACGGGGGGCCACACTGCTGGAAGACCTGCGAGAACCCCTGGGTGACTCCAGCCGGGAGCGGGGCCCTTCCCGGCCGCCGTGCCCATCATCGGGCGCATGGCACCGCTTTGTGCATTAGACAGAGGCTGCCCAGGGCAGGAAACCCAGGAGGGGGGAGAACAGCCAGCTTGACCCCTTCACAGGCACGGTCCCACTTCATTCTGTTAGCAACCCTCCAGGGCCCTTTTACAGGCCGTGCTCCTGGACCCACCAGCTGAGCTTCTTAGCTGGGGACTCACAGTGTTCATCCATGTGTGTATGTGCTCCGTGAACATATGGTTTACCAGGCATTAAGGGTACGGCAAGGTTTTGTTGTTTGAGTCTCACTGTGTAGGTCAGGCGATCCTGCGTTCCCGAGAGGACCCTGCATCCCAAGAAGACCCTGCGTCCCAAGAGGACCCTGTGTCCCGATGACCCTGCGTCCCGAGGACCCTCCGTCCCAAGAGGACCCTGCGTCCCGAGGACCCTGCGTCCCAAGGACCCTGCGTCCCGAGAGGACCCTGCATCCCAAGAGGACCCTGCATCCCAAGAGGACCCTGCGTCCCAAGAGGACCCTGCGTCCCGAGAGGACCCGGCCTCAGGGCCGGGAGGACAGCTGTGTGCAGCCATGACCGGCTGCACGTCTTCATTCTTGGTGAAACAGAACCATATACAGCCTCCCCAGCAGTTCTTAGGTGAGTATTTCTTGAGGGAAGAAAGGGTCCCATCTGTGTGTGTGCGCGCGCACACGCACCTGTGCGCCACGGTGCCTGATCATTGTGCTATATCGAGAGTAGATTTTTGTAAGATATGGGAATTATATCTTTTTTTTAAACAACTAAACTTAATTTATATTCCCTCCATAGAAAACACTAGAGAAAATTCAAGCTGAAAACACATGCTGACTTCCCACAAATGGTGTAAGGCTTCTTTTTTAAATATGTAGTACTGGGCAAAATTCTTAAAGTCAATAACTTTTTTGTTCAAGGGCTTTCACACGTTGTGGTTTCTTCACTGGTCAGCTTGGCTCCTCTTAAAGCCGGAGCTCAGGATTGCCCTTCAAGATGTCCCTTTAAAAAGCACTGGTGTATGGGCTGGGAAGGTGGCTCAGTGGTAGAGTGCTTGCCTTGCATGCCTGAGGCTCTGGGTTCGATTCCTCAGCACCACATAAGCAGAAAGAAAAAAGCCAGAAGTGGTGCTGTGGCTCAAGTGGTAGAGCACTAGCCTTGAGCTGAAGAGCTGAGGGACAGCGCCCAGGCCCAGAGTTCAGACCCCACGACCGGACCCCCCCCTCCCCCCCCCAAAAGAATATTCAATTAGCCAGGTGCCAGTGGCTCACGCCAGTCATCCTAGCTACTCAGGAGGCTGAGATCTGAGGATCGCAGTTCAAAGGCAGCCTGGGCAGGAAAGTCCATGGGACTCTTATCTCCAATAAATCACCAGAAAACCAGAAGTAGTGCTGTGGTTCAAGTGGTAGAGCCCTCGTTTTGAGCTGAAGAGCTGAGGGACAGCGCCCAGGCCCAGAGTTCAAGCCCCAAGGGTGACAAACAAAAAGAATATTCAATTAGATAATAAGCAATAAATACTGTTTTATGGTATTGTTAGATTTGTATCATAGGTTTGTTGTTACGATTTGTAGTGGTGTTCCTGGGAATGCTCTGATTCACTAGGGTCCATTCACATTTGTTTCAGAGTAAAAAGAGCACAGATGAAGAGTGGTAAGTTACGACACACACCACACCCCAGAAGCTGGGGGTCATCCCAGCGCCATTTATAGGACCGACTCTGTGTTCTGATGCACAGGCACGCTGACGTGCCACCAGACACAGATGTCGCCAGTTGTGCCATCCTGCCGCTCCTGCCATCCAGACAAAATTTACAGAAGATAGATTCTAAACGGAAAAAAGTGCACACCTACAAAAGGCAAATCGAAAACATGGCGTCGCTGCTTTAACTCAGAGGGGCCTGCCCTGTGCTGATGTGCTGTGCTGTGGGATTCCCCTTCCGGGTCACCCACGTCCTCCCGACCTCTCTGAAAAGCACAGCCAGCCTGGGGCCCTGGGAACGCCCTCGAGCTGGGGAGGACCGGGCAGACCGGAGCTCTTGCTGGTCAGACAGTGAGAATTCAAGCAGAGCTCTCCCAAGGACTGAGTGCGGTCCTCCCCTGCCCCTGGCTTCCTTCAGGGATCTGTCCTTTCTGGCTGGTCCTCTGTGGTCCAGCTCCCATACCTGGAGAATCAACCAGGCAGATCAAAAACACATGCAAGTGTAAATACTGAGCGGGTGCTGACATTTTCCCTCTTGTTATCCGTATGATGTGTGTTAAGTATTAGAAGGAACCTAGAGATGACACAGAAACTGTGAGTCTCTTACACGCATCCTAGATTGTGGTGACTGTTGGAATCTGGGGCTAGTTTCTACAAGGACACGGAGGGAAACAGTACCACTTTTTTGAGTGTAGGTGCTGAGAATTAAACCCAGGTCCTGGCCCATGCTGAGCATGAACTCCCAACCCCCTCTGGAGATGATGGGAGAACTGGGAGTGGGAACTTCGGTGAGAGGAGTATATTTACTCACAGGAAGACAGCTGTTCTGGGGGATCAGCTAGCAGAGTCCATGCAACCCGGAGACGCTGGTGTGGTCATCTCTCATCTATGCGGCTACTCAGCGGCCGGAAGGAAAGAGAGCCAGCTTCATAAAACCCCACAGCAGGGTCTAGAGCTGGAAGCGCTGGCGGATGCCGCGGGGCAGTGTGCAAGTTGGAAGGCCTTTGCAGATCGGTGCTTTTGGACAACAATCTAAGATGTGCAAAAGCAGAAACAGGCACCAGCCCTGACTTGTTTTCTAAAAATCATGGATATGCAGAAGTTTATTTGCAGCTTTTAGGTCGAGACCCCCCCAGGCCCAGTGCCTTTTCTTACCGTCTGCCACGTGTGTGTGTGTGTGTGTGTGTGTGTGTGGTGTGTGGTGTGTGTGTGTGTGGTGTGTGGTGTGTGTGTGTGGTGTGTGTGGTGTGTGTGTGATGTGTGTGTGGTGTATGTGTGTGTGGTGTGTGTGTGGTGTGTGTGGTGTGTGTGTGGTGTGTGTGGTGTGTGTGTGATGTGTGTGTGGTGTATGTGTGTGTGGTGTGTGTGTGTGGTGTGTGTTTGTGTGTGGTGTGTGGTGTGTGTGTGTTTGTGTGTGTTTGTGTTTGTGGTATGTGTGGTGTATGCTGTGTGTGTGTGTGGTATGTGTGCTGTGTGGTGTACGTGTGGTGTGTTGTGTGTGGTGTGTGTTTGTATGTGTTTGTGTGTGTGGTGTGTGGTGTGTGTGTGGTGTGTGTGTGGTGTGTGTGTGGTGTGTGGTGTGGTGTGTGGTGTTTGTGTGTGTGGTATGTGTGGTGTGTGGTGTTTGTGTGTGTGGTATGTGGTGTGTGTGGTGTGTGTGGTGTGTGTGTTTGTGTGTGTTTGTGTGTGTGGTATATGTGGTGTGTGGTGTGTGTGTGGTGTGTGGTGTGTGTGTGGTGTGTGGTGTGTGTGTGGTGTGTGTGTGTGGTGTGTGTGTTTGTGTGTGTGGTGTGTGTGTGGTGTGTGTGTTTGTGTGTGTGGTGTGTGTGTGGTGTGTGTGTGTGGTGTGTGTGTTTGTGTGTGTGGTGTGTGTGTGGTGTGTGGTGTGTGTGTGGTGTGTGTGTGGTGTGTGTGTGGTGTGTGTGTCTGGTGTGTGTGTTTGTGTGTGTGGTGTGTGTGTGTGTGTGTGTGTGGTGTGTGGTGTGTGGTGTGTGTGTGGTGTGTGGTGTGTGTGTTTGTGTGTGTGGTGTGTGGTGTGTGTGTAGTGTGTGTGTGTGTGTGTGGTGTGTGTGGTGTGTGTGTGGTGTGTGTGTGTGGTGTGTGGTGTGTGTGTGTGGTGTGTGTGGTGTGTGTGTGTGGTGTGTGTGGTGTGTGTGGTGTGTGTGTGTGGTGTGTGTGTGGTGTGTGTGTGTTTGTGTGTGTTTGTGTTTGTGGTATGTGTGGTGTATGCTGTGTGTGTGTGTGGTATGTGTGCTGTGTGGTGTACGTGTGGTGTGTTGTGTGTGGTGTGTGTTTGTATGTGTTTGTGTGTGTGGTGTGTGGTGTGTGTGTGGTGTGTGTGTGGTGTGTGTGTGGTGTGTGTGTTTGTGTGTGTGGTGTGTGTGTGGTGTGTGTGTGGTGTGTGTGTATGGTGTGTGTGGTATGTGTGGTGTGTGTGTGTGGTGTGTGGTGTGGTGTGGGGTGTGTGGTGTGGTGGGTGGTGGTGTGTGTGTGGTGTGGTGGGGGGTGGGGTGTGTGGGTGGGTGTGGTGTGGGGTGTGGGGTGTGGGGGGTGTGGGTGGGTGGGGGGGGGGGTGTGTGGGGTGTGTGTGGTGTGGGTGTGGTGTGGGGTGTGGTGTGTGTGTGTGTGGTGTGGGGGTGTGTGTGGTGGTGTGTGGGTGTGGGTGGTGTGGGTGGGTGTGTGGTGTGTGGTGTGTGGGTGTGGGGTGTGTGTGGTGTGTGGTGTGTGGGGGTGTGGTGTGTGTGGGTGTGGGTGTGTGGTGGTGTGGGGGGTGTGTGTGGGTGGGTGTGGTGTGGTGTGTGGGTGTGTGGGGGTGGTGTGTGGGGGGTGTGTGTGTGGTGTGTGGTGTGGTGGTGTGGTGGTGGTGGTGTGTGTGGTGGTGTGTGGGGGTGTGGGTGGTGTGTGTGTGGGTGGTGTGTGTGTGGTGTGGGGTGTGGTGTGGGTGTGTGGGTGTGTGGGTGTGGTGGGTGTGGTGGGGTGGGGTGTGGGTGTGGGGTGTGGGGGTGTGGGTGTGGTGTGGTGTGTGGTGTGTGGTGTGTGGTATGTGTGTGTGTGGTGTGTGTGTGGTGTGTGGTGTGTGTGTTTGTGTGTGTGGTGTGTGGTGTGTGTGTGGTGTGTGTGTGTTTGTGTGTGTGTTTGTGTGTGGTGTGTGGTGTGTGTGTGTGTGGCCACGCTAACACAATCTGTGGGTCTAAGCATCCCCCGTGCAGATGGGGCAGCTGCTATGGCTTCTTTTACTTTGTTTTCAACCCCGAGCACCTAGGTTCTAATGGTAAGGCAGCACAGACAGGAAAACCCCACTAGAATTTTGGATTAAAGACAGTTATCTGTCTTGCCTCTTTGTTTTTTGAAACGCAGTTGCTGATTGGGCTGTACCTGGGTCTAAAACAACGCGCAGTCCATTAAAATAATATTCTTGGGCTGTGTTTCCAGAGTGGTATTTGGGGACTTATTATTAATCCTGTAACAATCACAGGACCTGCGCTTTTAACTCCCCGGCGTGTCTTTGAAAATCTAGCCTAAAGCAGCGAGCGTTGCCATTTCTCTCTCCTCTCTCTCCACAGAGAAATCCAGAGATTAGAACTGATCAGATGACCCATGCCTGGCGAGGGAGGGGAACAGGCTTTTCCTCTCAGGAACTGGGTCAATCAGCGTAAATATTCAAAAGCA